CTGAAACAACCTCTAGGCTGATCTAAGCCAGGGCAAGGCTAACTCACAGATCGAACACTGAAACAACCTCTAGGCTGATCTAAGCCAGGGCAAGGCTAACTCACAGATCGAACACTGAAACAACCTCTAGGCTGATCAAAGCCAGGGCAAGGCTAACTCAAAGACTGAACATTGAAACAACCTCAGGGCTGATCCAAATCAGTGCATGGCTTACTAGTGATGTACACAAGTGTAGCACTGCAATGGTGTACAAGAACCATGTTTTTTTTAATATAAAATAAGCTAAATAATAAGCAATTATTGGATGAAGTTGAGCATGATATCGTAAATTATCAAGACCTCGGTCTTGATCATTTACGATATTATGTGATAACCTCATCCAATAATTGCTTTATTATACATTTTGTATACTGGAAAATAATGAAAAAAAAAACATGAACTTTAAATTATAGAGACAAAAATTATGAACGCCATGATGTCGCGTGAAAAACGCAAAATTCTTAATTCTGAAACATTTTGAGAATTCTTCATAAAATATATGAAAACAAGTTAAGGATTCCTTAAAATATAATTGTTTTTGTACATAATTCTGGAAATAAATACACATAATGAATAAAAACAAAGCTACCACAGCGTGACCTTGAATGAAAACCTACAGATAATACATTTATCATGTCGAGTTCACACAATATCAGGGATTGGCTGAGGGCTCTCGACCAATCAGAACTGAGATACTTAGTAAAATGTATAATAACATATAGTTACGATACTCCTTTCACGTGGAGTTACCATTTTTCCTCTGACACAGTCTTCAAGAGAATCTACGAGTTCTGCAGCAATTCCAATGAGTTTGTGATAGTCACCCTGTAAAGAACAAAGGAAAGGAAAGGAAAGTTTAGACGGGAAAAATGGAAGATAGAAAGGAAGGAAGGAAGACTGAAATAAAGAATGAAAGGAGTGAAGGGAAAAAAATATGAGGCAGAACAAAGGAACAAATTAGGATGGGGAAGATGGAATAAAAAACAAATTTAAAGTAAGGAAGGAAGGAAATGATGATGATGATGATTTGATGATTTATGAATTTATATAGCGCCTTTTCTATATGAATATAATCAAAAGCGCTTTACATTGAGAAGTGAATGACAGATTGCTTTTATGCAATTTACAATCATGAGAGATGGTTAGTATGAAGTGTAGGCACTGAGGGTGATCACTGCCAGGGTTTCTTTATGTCCTCAGAGGCTCTTTTACGTCCCTCCTATGTTGGTTAGTAATGATGAGTGTGGAGAGGTGAGACCGCCATTTAAAGTGGTCATCCAAGCCACTTGAAAGTCTAACCATTTGCAGATGTAATTACAAAGGCAGCACTTTCTCCTCAGTTATTTTAAGACCCTGAGTGTTGGTCCGGCTGGGACTCGAACCACGACCTCCCGCATGAAAGTCCGATGCTCAACCAACTGAGCCAACCGGTTGGCAGTTAAGATGATGGGAAAGAATGGAAGGAAGTGAAAAATGGAATGAAAAAAAGAATAAGATTAAAAAGGAAGAAAGAGCGAAATAAAAACATGGATATATATCATATATATGTACATGATAATGTTGTTTAAAACTAGCAATAACGTAATAAAAAGACGAACTTTGGATCAGTAGAAGGAAGAAAGGAATAGAAAGGAATTATTAAATACAACAAGCAAAGTTCTTGCTCACAGAAGTCATAAGTCAAACAATTAGCTTAGTTCCAGATGTGTTTGTTAAATGAGAGTGATGCATCCATTCATACTCATGCACTGTACCTGTATCTTTGAGAATTTCTTAAAATACAAAGCAGATCTTCTTTCAACTTCTGACAGCTGGCTCTGTAGCAGTCTTAATTGATCATTGTGTCTTTTTCTCTCTGAGATGATTAAGGGAAAGAAAAAATACAATTACAAAAATCTTCCCTTGATACAGTCATATAGACTGCTTTTACTCCTATAGACTGCTTTCACTCATTCCCTAAGTTTGATTCAAAACAAAAGAAATTCTTTATCTTGAAGATTGGAATCTTTATTTGATGTAAATTTTTTCAGCTGTTTTGGCCCCCAGGAGAGATTTAGTGCAAGGGGTCAATTGAAACTATCTGTAAATGAAAACCACATACGGTACCTTTCTCAAGCACATCTGGCCCATTTTTCTGTTGTAGGTCAAGGAAACATCAAACAGGATTTCAAATGATTACTTCAAGCAGCAGTAAGGGGGACTCGCGATTGATGCCGTACATTTGCGGGTTTTACCCGGGAAATTACGAACGCGGGTACAGCAGATTTACGGGATTTCCCGCGAAAAGTCCCTTACTGCTGCTSTGTTGGGTACCGCAAACGGAGGTAAAAAATATCCTTTATATATAATGGATACCATCAAAAGTATCAAGAACAAGACTGTGCGCAAACTCAGAACCCAGGTTCTGGACAGGTTAGACGCAGACTTTGCCTTTACGACATTTATGGAAGGTAATACGGATGAGACTATGACACAGGAAAGAGCAGAACAGATAATCGACCTAATGCCCGA